AACCTAGAGATAGTAATACCCGACTTGAGCTAATATCACATTACTTGCATGAATACCCATTTGGACTTGAGAAAGCCAAATTGGGCAAAATCACTCAAACTATCGAGAGGTATAGAATGAGTACTTGGGTATGATAGCTATATTACGACCCCAAATTAATCAAGCTTGCCCTAGATTCTTGCTACCCGTTAGATAACCACCTAGGCGGAAAGTCACTACCCTAGTTCTTTTAAACACTTGAAAACCAGAATTAAAAAAATATTGTACTTAGCTTTAATCATTGCATACAATAGAATAATATAATTAGAAGTAGAATCAAAACCAAAGTGTGTGAAAGCGTAATTAGGAACAAAACATGCATCTAGACTTAGATATAAACCTAATTCCAAATCAATTAACTCCCTTTGGATTCGATCCCGACCATGTTGGGTAAAACTGCATCGACCATTCTCGCTATTCAATAGTAGTGCAGGCTTGGACCCGATCAAGTAGGCCGACAACTGCAAGTTCCACGTTAATGCTACCCATGTGAAACTTTCACCGAACATTTCTAACAAGATGGAGGATACCTGCTCTTTGGTGAGGTCGTTGCCCTTTAGTGCGGTGACATAATGGGTCACATGGTCAGGATCAGTCGTCCCATCATAGATCCTGAGGTACGGGGGCATCTTGAAGGTTTTCAGTATGGCATGAGGAGCTGCTTCTTCCCTATACGGCTGCTCTATAAACCTGTCGGTATCTCTTTTTGGTATTAATTTGGGGGCATCTGGTATCTTGTCGACCCGTTCTTGATGTTCTTCTATCTGTTCTTTGAGTGCCATGTTCTTACTTTCCATTTCTTCCATTCTTTTTAACACGGACGTGAGGGCATTATCACCTACATTGTCAGTAGTTATATGGATATTACATGAAGTTGGAGGGTTCAGTTGGTTGTCTTGCCAATTCTTATGCTAGGCTGCAGGAATCCTTGGGGTTTGCACGGTCGTGCATAGGACGTGCTTACTCATCACATTGACCAAGGTGTCTGTTAGCTAGGCCTTTAAGAGTTTTTTTATGGCAGGTAGTGCTCCTTCCTCCACGGATATGGAAGCCTCTTTTCCGTTGGGTTTGGTCATGCTGTAGGGGTTATTTCTTTGTCATGAGTTTCGTACCCTTTGCCGATGACACTTATTAGATTAAGCGGGATGTTGTATGCCGCTCATGATCCCTTTCCTTGGTCGACTTTTCCCTGGTTGAAAACTAATAGTTTGACTATAAAATCTCCACAGATAGCGCCAAACTGTATGACCAAAAAATAGATTTTGGTTTTATACAATTAGATTGATAGAAAAATGGGATTAATCATAGCCAATATCAATAATCAAGGACAATTCCAATATTTTATGGTAAGTACTTTAGTGTGTAACGCTAAAGAAAACAACTTGAGATAATACGGAGTAATAAAGACCTAAAAATATAAAGGAGAGCAATAAATGATAATAATAAATGAGTTTCAACTAGTAAATCAGATAAAGATTACCCGACAAGGATAAGATTCTCAAATGTGTTTTCTGATAATGATGGAGGTTGATTAGTGATTGTATATTCCAATCCCTCTTGGATCGAGAGAGAAGAATAAAAGAAGGGAAGTGTAAAGTCAAGCCTTGTTTCTATTCAATAAAGTGAGAATCTTGTACATCGAATGTTTGATAAAATTCTTTACAAAAGGTCCAATCCCCTTTCTAATCTAAATCTCTTCCTATTTACAAGAGCACATGGGTCACAAAACCCTAGATAGTACAACATAGAGGAATATCTATTAGAATGTTCTTTAGGGAATCTAACTCCTAAAACTGGTTATCACTTCGTACCGAAGGTGGATGCTTGTCCTCATCTTCTGCTAAGCCATTTCGACCTCGACAACGACTTATCCTCCACATATGACCTCGAACTTTTGGAGTTGTGTCGACACGTCACAGCCACCAAAGGCTTTATTATCCCTGACTAGGTCAAACACATAAAATGAAGTTTTCGCCCATACAATGCATGGGTTGGTTGATGGTTTAGTTACGGGGATATTGTAGTAAGGTGGTTGTTTAATTTATGAAAGGAATAATAATGTATGAATTATTATGTGGTTAATAATATTGAGTGAATTGTTATATAGTGAATAATAGTGCAGGAGTTATTACGTAGGAATTATGTATTTTAGACCCCCCAAAAAAAAATTGTGCATTTTCCTCTTTAGGTACCCTTATCCATGTGCTAGTAAATATATTCATATTCCACATTTTATCCATGTAAAATATTATGTTGAATTTCTTTATAAGTTCCTTTGATATAAAAATATTGTATTTGATCCGCATAACGTTATATTAGTTATACATAAATTATATTACAGCTAATATTTACTTGCATTATGTATTTATATTAAATTAAGTAATTTAACATTAGTAGTTTAAAATTGAAGTAAATATACATATAAATTAGGGAAATGGCAAAATATACCCCTCAACTTTCATATATTGTCTATATTTAACCTTCATTGTACTATCGGGCAAAAGTTACCCCTACCGTTATACTATCGGGCCAAATTTACTCATACAATCAGCAAACTTTTAAAAATACCCCTTGATTTGTTAAGTAATCCAAAATCTCCCAAATTCTTTTTATTTAAATCACTTGTTGTTCTTCTTGCTCCATTATTTTCAAAAATTACTATTGATATGAATGTTAAAGTTACTAGACTATACAAATTATTCGTATTTTTTTTAATTACCAATGCACCATTTCTCTTCTTGTA